ACTGTTACTGCAGGCTGGGGTAGAGCAGCGCGAGGCTTTGCAGCAAGGGCCGCTCACCCTTCAGGTTAGAGCTCTGAAAAGCTCTTACTGTAACAAGAACAACAACAAAAAGGTCTTTTCCCAGCACAGCCTGGCCTGCTCGGTCTCTCGCCTGCCAGTCCTTTGCCCCGTCTTTTGGACGGGTCCCCACCCCGTACGGGCACACTGAAACTCCCGCACCGACACCTGCCTTGTGCGGGTTGGCCAGCAGCAGGACCTGGGACAGCACTGCTGGGGGCTGCAGGGGGCTGAAGGCAGGAAGCTCCGACCCGGAGGCTGGCTGTAACTTGATTTTCATGGTCTGAAAGAGAAAACAAAGGGAAGACATTTTGGTCCGTGCTGAAAAAGAGCAGGGGCCCTCTTGAAACCACTCTTCATGCATGGTTGAAAAAACCAAAAAAACAAACAAAAAAAACCACTATCATTTTATCCAAAAAGCGTAAGGATTCCAGAGAAGTCCTGCTTCTACATTTGGGTTCCTGCTACTCGTATACAAGGTTAAGACAAATCGTCCCATGTAGCTGCGTCAATGGTTCCTTTAACCAGCTGTGAAAAAGGTTTCCTGAAACACCTCCCTTTCATGGCCTACACATGGCCAGAGCCTCTTCCCAGCAGGTTGAAGCGCTGGGCCTGCAGCCCTGCTTGCTTCTCTCAAGATCTGGGATAGACTCTGAAACAGGCCTTCGGCCACAAGCACCAGCACACAGCAGGTTCAGAGGAAACGAGCCATGCAATTTCCAATAAACAAGGCCAATGTTAAGCAAGAAAGAGCAAACCCGCCTCCCAGGACATGTCTGAGTAGTCCCACTGTTCTGCTCATCGCACATCTCACCTTTGGGACTGCAGCCTGGAACTCGATGTTGGTGATGGGCTGCGCGGCCGTGCTCAGCATGGAGAGCACCATGACCAGCACGTCCGGGCGGCCGCGCGCCGGCTCTCTGGACAAGTGCAGCATGGCCTTGAGGCCGTGCCGGTCGTACACAGTCAGAGGAGGGACGCTGCCTGCCGGGACAGAGCGGGGTGAGGCTCGAAGCCTGGGATCGCCCTCCAAAGGGCGACAGTGGCAGAGGAAGAGCAGGAAGGAAACACTCGTAGGAGCCTCTACTTTTTCTAGCCACCTCCCAGGCCAAGCAGCTCACACGCTTGCTGTGCTTTACATCTTGCCTCTGAGGCAGAGCAGGGAATCCCTGTGCCTAAGATAGCAATGGGGAAACTAGCTGTCCAGATTTCAACAGGCAGTTGGAGATGGGAGGTAAGGATCTAATGGAGATATGATGGGAAAGGCCAAATATAAGTCTGCAGCACATACAAGACTTAGCCCCTTATTGCCATTCCCTCGGGAATCCACATCTGGCTATCACCATCCAGCCCTTGCAAAATCTGCCAAGTTCTTCACCTGAGAGATGAAGATCAGGTGCCAACGAAGTCAGACTGTCTTTGCACCCGTCCTTCTCTTCCAAGAGTAACAATGAGCAAGGCTTTGCAGGCCTCCCCGAGCAGGACATACCCTGCCAGGGGACACCGTGGTGCCACGGGCCGTGCCCAGGGTCGGACGCAGGGCCGGGCCACAGTCAAAATGCAGAGACGGAAGAAACAGCACGTAGCTCCCGAGTGAGACAGCTCCCACCCAGAGATGTCTTTTAAGAGCCTGAAGAAGGGCTGCTTCCAACTTGAGTAAAAGGGCTAAGGCCAGACAGTTCAGACACCCACTACAGACCTTAGCCAGGGCAGGAAACTGCTCGCTGCTGAGCAGGGAGCACAAGGCTGTTTCCCCAGCATGATTCTAGCACCTGCTGAAGTTCCCAGATGTGACAGTTACTTCACAGAATAGTCACTATTTTTGCCCAGCTGATCCCCACAGCATGAAGCTATCTCGGCCCCTGCAAAAGAGCAGCTCTATTAAGCAGAGCTGGGGCACAAAAAAAAACATTGCACTTACTTGGTGTAATTGAAATTAAAGGGACAAAAAGGTTTGCTAGGGAAGCATCATGGGAGGCTGGATGCAAAGAGGCAGGAGGCTTCAGCTCGGAGCCTGGGCTGGAGAATGAAGTTTTTGCCCCTGGGCTATTTGGAAGATCTGGAAAGGGCAATTTCTTTGGTGATAAATCCCTGGAAAGAAAAGCATGCAGAAAGCTCGTAATGCCTGGGGAAACCGTATCGTATACATCATCCTCTGCCGGGTCCATCTCGCATTCCTGATCCCTCATCCCTTAGAGGGAGAGAGGAAATACAAGCTTCAACTCTACATGTTCTTGTGCAATTTGAAAGGGGCCCCTGATGTGCACGGAAGCTGCCGTTTCAGTGCTCATCACGATGGACTTTGGTTTCCAGGGCTTTGGAAGTCTGTTCTCCCCATGTGCAGCTGCTCTGAGGCGCTGGTCAGTGAGATTAAAATACAGCTCGAGGACAAAGCAAGAGGCTGGGGAACCCCAGTACCGTTTCTTGGCCCATATTATGGCAGGAGGCTGGATAATGGTCCCCTGTCCTGAAGCTGTGTGGATGACTAATTTGGGTCATCCCTTATTAACTGAATGCCCTAGAAATTATTTTGTCAAAGGCTGAATAAAGCTGGTCAAAGGTTTTTGTTTGAGTCACAAACTATTGTTAAAGACCTGACCGGAAAGTTTTTATTCCTTTAGTTCAAGGACACCTTGTTACTCATCCACAGAAACTGCTCCCCAGAGTTTCTGACCCCTGGAAGGTCTGTGTGCACAATTATGCAGTCAGAATTAGCAAGTGCATAACTGCAGCTTGAGAGCTGGTGTGTCTGTGGGTAGCTTGCCTTCATTAACCAGTAGTATTTAAAGATAATACCAAAGCTCACTGCTGTACAAGGGCATCCCTGAACTCCAGGGCCACACGGCACCGCGCAGAGTTTGCTTACGAGGACAACGTCTGTGTCCTGCAAGGTGGAGACGGCTGCTCCGCCGGGGCCTGGAATTCATCCTTCTCGAAGCAGTTGTCTTCCAGGCTCTCCCTCGGCCCCGGCGTTTGCACGGCACTGACACTCTCACTGTACCCATTGTGTACAGCAGCCTGAAAAACAAGGCACTTCTAAATAAAAATAAGGCTGTGCAACATCAGCAAAAGTCTGTCCCACTGTAAAGAACCTTCCTTTTAAACAGAGCTTAAAGTAGGAATAAATATGACTAACTTGGTAGCAAACTGCAGCAGAATTTCACCAAGCGGAAGAATTCTGATTTCCCTTCAGAATAAAGTGGCACAAAACAAGGCAGCCAGTGAGAGCTGGGAGATCAAGAACCCAATGCAGTTTTTATCCTTTGGAGGGACTAAAATATATAAGGATCACTTACCTCTGCTAAGCCAAAATCATGTGGTGATTTTTGTACAACAGGAGAGTTGTTGAAATCTAAGAAAAACATGAAAAGCACAGGCCAGTTACAGGAGGCAGGGGTTTGCCATTAACCACGTTCTGCCTGTGGCAACTAACAGCAGTTAGACTGCACTCCATCACTATTAAAGAAACTGGATTCCTCACAGCTCACAACACTTGCACTCCATCACTATTAAAGAAACTGGATTCCTCACAGCTCACAACACTTGCCTTAGCTAAAAGGTTCCATCTCCTCTTAGGAACAACATTAAAATCAAAGTTCTTCTATCTTCGTTAAATATTACGGGCGCTAATGACATGGTAACACTTGGAGCCGCACATACAGACCTAGTGAGGTGAACTCCTCATCGAGCAGGCAGGTGGAGGCTGTGCTGCCGTGCCGGGAGGCACGCGCGTCCGCGGGAGACGGCGACGGGGCCTCCAGCTCCGAGAAGTCGATCAGGGTGTAGCTCTTCACCCGCCTCGGGGGCGTCTGCCGCGCTTGGAAAACAGCACAACGAGTTAGAGAGGTTGGTCCTGCAAGGAGCGTGGGCTCAGCGTGCCCTAAGGGACTCGGGTGGAGAAATCCGGGAACATTTTCACTCAACATGGGTACAAGGAAATTATAATTACAGATGCCCGATAAAGTCTCAGATTGAGAAATCCATTAGTTTAATGGAAGGAAATGCTCTTCTTCTACCAGCAGAGCTCATCAGCTTTATCCAAGCTAAGTTGTGCAACATATTTCAAAACCGCACTCTGACAGTGGCTGCAATGTGACTCAGATTATCCCTCTTTCACCTAAGTCGAGGCTGGGTGGAAGGATAAAGCAAAGCTCTCAAGAGCCAGACATGGAGCACAATTATTTCCCGGGATATCCGTTTCCCTAAGCTGCCCCAGGCCCTGCTGGCACCGAGCTGCAACGTCCCTGCTGGAGAGCTGGGTGAGCGGCCAGCCCTGCGCCGCGTTCAGGCCTCAGAGAACCCTGTGCTCACTCATGGTTTTTCTTTCTCAGTTTTATTTGACGAACAGAAAAGCTTGTAATTGTGCTCCTTGCTTTATGTCTTTCCAATATCAAGAATATGAAATCTCATTTCCCCAGATTTTATTGAAAGACTTGAGGGATGGAGGTGATCGAGTTCCACCTTTGGATTTGGTGCTGCCTTCATTTCTGTACTCCGTGGTTACCATGCCTTTTTTCAGTAGGTTATTTCTTATTAAATACCTTTTTTTTTTTTTCCAATAAGGGAACAATGAAAAAGGTATAAATTATATTGTTCTTACATAAAACAAATCTACAAAAGCATCTGTTCCAAAAACACCTTTTATGCCAGCAATCCTCCATGCCAGGAGGCAAGGCACCACGGCCCGGCGGTTCGGGCGCGAGGCAGAGCGGCGGCCGCGGCGCGACTCGCTACCTGGCGTGGGAGCGCTGTCCTCGGGGCCAGCCACGGTCTGCTTGTACTGCCCCAGGGCCCGCGTGAGCTCGTCGTTGGCCTGCAGGATCTCGGCTGGAAAGCAGATGAGAAACAGAGCATGAATGTGTAGGTACAACACATTAGCACGACAGCACAAGAATCAGCTCCATGGCACTCCCCAGACTGCCCGAGAGCTACACTGCAGCTAAGAACTGGCCCGGAGCAAAGCCCGGGGATATCCAAACCCCAGGATGACCCATGTGGGTCAGCCCATCTCATGCATGACGGCCTTTCAGAGCTTTTCCTCCAGTAAACGCAGGGTGCAAGCCCAAAAGAGCAAGGGTTGGCACTGCAGAGAACTGGAACAGCAGGGATGAGCGTGGCAGCTAGGAAGGACGAGGGATTCTGAGGACGTGGGCTTTCCCACTGCATGTTCAGTAGGAGAAGCTGCTGCTCAGGAACGACGGGTACCAGCCAGCTCAACACTGCCACAAGTTTGCACAGTTCTGTGAGGCTTAATACTCCGTAAGTGAACAGCAGAAATTAAAGAGGGGAATTTTAGTACCATATTTTTAACATTACCTAATGCCCCATCGTCATCAACTGTCTCGCTGGCAAGGCGGAAGAGCAGCGGCCTGAGCCTCTCGCAGCGTTCAAACAGATTCTGCAGAAAAAACCATCTCTCAGCAAGAGAAAAGCAAAGGGAGCCGGCAGGAGCCAGCTCTGTTGGTCTCCTGGGACGTCCAGCTCCAGGTCATGGGGAGTGTTGCTGCTGTCCTCGTGCTCTTGCCTATGTGCAAGCTGAGGGCACCCTTGAGTACTGCTGCCTTGGGCTCTCCCAGCTATGGCTCCCAAAAGACTCTTATGCAGGAGGAAGGAGCATTCACCTGTAGGGTGTCGCGGTCAGATGGAGATAATTCCTGTCTCTTGTAGCTGTCCAGTAGCTCACCCATGAGTTTAACGTTCTCAGAGACCTCACTGATTGTGTTCACTCGTCTGGAGACTTTAGCTGATTTTTCTTGTTCCTTTGATGCAAAAGGAAAGAAAAGCAGATGCTCTGGTTAGTACTAGCAGTGCACGTGCTTGGGTTGTGTACTCAAACACCCTCCCTGTTCATGTGTCATTGCAGATACAAGGTGGTGCAGGGCAGGGGGTAAAAACTCACTCCACGAGGAACTCCATTACCGGAGCAGACAACTGTGTACTTTAGGGAGACAGTCCTGCTCTTCAGCCTTGCAATAACCAATACTGGGAATAGCCCCTTATCTGCACCATTTAAACTGTTCCCAACCTGCCGCCACAGCCAGGTTCCCATGACCAACCTGCAATAGCAGCTTGTGCCATATATCAGGCAGGTCACGTATAGAGGCCCGCTGTCAAAGACCGAAGCGCCGAGTCACCCCCTGCCCCGCGGCGGCCTCCTCCTACCTCCTTGATCATGCTCTTGATG